TTAATCATATTCTTTACGAAATTAATTTAATAATCATCATCACAATTACAGTTGCCATCACAAAAATTTCACGAAAACCAGAGTCGCCCTCTCCATCTTCATTTCCTAGATACAGAGGAAAAATATAACCATCATCACAAATTCTTTACGAAAAAGCCCAACCCAATTTCATATTTAACCAAAAAAAAAAAAAAAAAAAAAAAAAAAGAAAGAAAGACAGAAAGAAATTATGTCAGCATAAATACTGCTTGAGAATAAACTGTCCAAGAATGAATAATACATAGTGCTAGTGCACATTCCCAAAAAATCCAGACATGTTAGAGGAAAATATTTACCTGATGCTCAAAAAAAGGATAGTCCAAATAAACATCAAAACGACGTGCAAAGGTAATGTTGGTCGGGACCCATTTTACAGAGTAAGTCATTTCCAACACTCGTCCTTCCTCAAGTGGCTTAGGATTTTCTTGAGTAAGATTTACATGGATAATCTGCAATTCATAGATCACTTAAAAAAATGAATAAAAATCTTAATGGCAAATAGAATTGTTAAAAAAAAAATGAAAGATCGAAAGAGACTTTTAATTGGAACCTACTTGATTCCCGTTGTAGTTAATGACAATATTTTTGTGAGTCCAAAGTACGTGCTTAGTGTCACGTGTTCTATCAGGAACCACCTCACCAATGAAACCTTCAAGAAGGAAATGTCAATTCGATCAAAATCAGAAAATAAAAAATCAACTCAATAAGAAGCCTAAAAGTATATTTGTAAAAATTAAAGCATACCCCAAAGTGGCAAATCATCTGATCGGAAGAGCCATGAAATGCAAAGAGACAACACACAAGTTAGTGAGCAATAGAAAAGTAGGTTAGCAACTGTGTCGTGATAGTAACTAACCATAACAAACATACCCATAAAGAATTCAAACCAGTATGAATTGTCAATTGCATCTTTAAACTGTTTAGCCTTTTCTGCTTCCAGCTCAATCTCACAGATTGTAGTCCTCTCCACATCTCCTGAAAAAACAATATGATTTTCCACATCATATCACCAACCTGTACGCAACGAGAACAATTATGAACAAAGAAAATATCAGTAACTAGATATTACTCTTAAATTTGATGTCAATTTGGCTATCAATAAGCTCGTTCCCCCCGAGAACCTCACCGAGCCCACCCCATTTATGAGCTGGGTTTCCAGGCGAGCGGCAAAAAGGGAGGCTGTAATAGTTGTAAGTTTCCTGAGGATTGTTATACGGGCCAACCTTATTTACCCATAAAGTGACAGTCTCGCCATCTTGAAACTGCACGTTGCTCAAAGACATGTCAGGATACTAAAGGAAAATACAAGTATGCAAGCAAATCTTCTTGTTTCATTAGGTGATTCAAAGTGCACAACAAAAGCCTAATCTTAGCTAGTTGACATTGTAACCATGAAAGTAAAAAAACTAACTAAATTCATGTACAGACAGACCTCGCTAACAAAACAAAATAAAGCAGGAGCACTTAAATTGGGGCTCATAATAAGAAAGACAAGTAACGTAACAAACTAACAACTAATAAGAACCTTAATCACAAGAATGAACTAAAACATGATAAATAAACAGATGAAAAATGGGTCCGTAGCATCAAAACGAGCTTTGATCAAAGTTCTAACTTTCTCATGCAACCTTGCCCCATCAAATATCATGTAAGAAACCCAATTATCCATGAGGCCTCCTCTATTAATATTAACCTTCAACCATGATAAACCAAAGCTCCCATTGTTTCTACACGCATCAACAATTGCATAAGCGTGCGCGCACACACACACAGCTAAAGATTTAAACAACTCAATTCCCATTAACTGAAATCATTTAAGTGCAGAGCATAACAGACAGCACGAATCGACCCAATAACAGAGTACCCAAACTTCATCAGCTAGCTGGAACAAATTTAGTAAATGTCATCACCTTTCCGACACTGGACGACGCGAGGAACGAGAAGACAAAAATGCAAACGGTAGAAAGCTTGAAGACGGAATTCATTGCCTCTGGATAGATAACTTCCTTCCGATCTGAATCAGGAAAAGCTCAATGGATTTAAAATTGACCAAAATGTGGCGAGAAATTTGGGGAATCTTCTTCCTCTTAGCTCCTCCGATTCTCTATAGGCAATTCAGATCTCGTGTGCTTCAGACGTTCCGAGGTTTTGGGCTCAGATTTCATGACCGCATTGGAACAAATCCCCGTAAAGATGTCCTGGCTTTCTCATTCGATCAATTTTTTCTTGTTTTATTATTTTTCATTTTTGAAGAAGAAACTAGAAAGAGTTAAAATGTTGGTGGGTTTATGGCTGACACGAGTCGGAGTGTGACTTTACATTTTGCCTCATGTTCCTGTAATCCTGAAAATTACAAGATAATTCATTTTTAAATAAAAAGAACAAAAGTTTATATATTATGAAGGTCTTCTGAATATTTATAAAATTAAAAATAATAATTTAAATTTAACTTTATAGTTTGAAATTTTAATATTATTATCACTCGTCATTATTATTTTTATTATAAATGTATACAACTAATTTTTTATTCTATATATTTAATATATTTTATAGAAAGAAAAAAAAATACAAGTTAAAAGATCGATCTGTTCGAACTAATATTGGGTCAACATGACCAACAACGATTAAGAGAATGATTGGATAAAAGCTATTTTGGCAAAAAAAATGTTCAATAGTAAAGTGATGAAACAAATGGAAAAAATAAACTTTTAGTTTTGGATATAAGAATTAGTTAAATGAATGTAAGATAAATTATAATATTTAAAATTTATGTGATAAATTAGTAAAATAATGATTGAAAAATAATTAATATGTTATTTGGTCGTATTGATAATATTGAGGGAAAAAAGTTAGACCAAAAGAATTGTATTTTATTTTTTATTTTTTTGGAAATTTTGTTGTATCCATTCATATTTCTCATATAAAAGTTATACAAAAATTGTACTAACTTATATCCACGCTCAAATGGATCAAGTTCAAGTCCCATGTATCGGGTCCAAAGTTGGCTCGACTGGTCGCTATGGTTGAACATCAGTGCACACAAACAAATTGCATAACCTATTCACATTTTTTTTGGAAGCTATGGATGGATTTTCAAATCATAAACTAGATATAATATTTCAATTATTTTAAAATACATATTTAAATTGTTAAATATCATATTTTTATTTATTTATATTGTTTAGTGTATAATTTGTTACCAAAGTAGACCATTTTCACAAAAATATAACCACCTAACTATATATTTATCATTATTAACATTGATTTGAGAATTTATACATTATTGACTCCTATAATCTATGCCCTAAGCATTAGAACCAAAAATGATTAACATACATCTTCAAATGTATGAAACTAGAAATATAAATAAAAGCAATCTTTTTCTTTCAATCGTTGCTGGGTTGCCTTCACATGTACACTGCACTGCACAACCACACAAATTGAGGAGCCAAAAAAAGAAATGTAGGGGTATAAAAGAGATTGTAGCAATAGCATACTAGCATGCCTATCTATCGCCACAAATTTCTGTTATTGCAGAAGAGGCCTCGCACTATCGAGATATTCCACATCGATCCCATCCCTATCATCCTCCACGCTCCGATCATCATCCCCGCAAACACAAACCGATCCGAAGACCAGCATCAGCTGATCCTCCAGGTACCTCTGCAGCAGCCCCACCTCGTCTCCTCCGCCGTCCCCTCCGCCCTCTTCCGCCTGCCACCGTCGCTTCCGCCGCGCGAGGCGCCAGATCTCGGCGGCGCACACGAATGGGCACGCGGCGAGGACCAGCGGGACGAGGAGCGGGCTGCAGAGGAGCAGGACCAGGTATCTCCACCGGCGGCGGTCGAGCCAGGACGCGAGCACCCGGGCGGCGGAGGAGAAGGGGGCGCATGAGAAGCCGGCGGGGTCGCTGTGAGACTGAGACCCGTGGGTGGGGAGGAGGAGGAGCGAACTCCGATCGGGGCGTTTTTTGAGTTTTCCGGCGACGAAACTGCACCACCAGTGGCGATCGGCGACCCAGCTCCACATGAGGGTTTTTTTCTTTTTCCGATCGCAGCCAAGCAAAAACTATGCTGATAAATTAGGTGAAAATTTAAACTCTGATTTTTTGGACTTAGGTTAAGCTTTTACCAATTTGGGAAAGGAATCCGGTTTTCATACCAGAAGAGTGTGTCAATAAAAAAATTGTATTTAACCTATAAAAATGTGTAACTATACATATAAACAATTGAGCATGTTTTATGTGCATCTCTTTTTATATTTTGGTTATCCTAGGCTGGATATTGGGAATTCTTTTGATTGGGCATTTTGGCTATCTGAACATCAATCCAGCAAATATAATCTGAATTCCTTGTCGAGATTTGGATTCACATGAATTTGATGAGTCAGTTGTTAAATAAGATTGTAGTCAGTAAAATTGTAAATTTTTAATCGCTATATTGAATTATTTTGATAAATTAGTATACTACTATATTGAAAATGTATAAAAATATATACTATTTAATTTAATATTTATCAAGTCACATAGTTTTAATTATTCATCACTTCACATTATTTTTTCTCCTACTTTTACATGAATCAACTTTAATTATTTTATTTTAAATATTATTTTAATATAAATTCATCCTCTAACAATTAACCATACAATTTTTTGTTTTCAAAATCAAACATATCAAACTAAAAAATCTAAACAAAATCAAAACATCTTATATCCAATCATCGCCTAACTAAGTGAGTCATTCATTAACTCGGGTTGTTGACATTCGAATTAGTTAATATTGATAAATGAGTTAATTTAAAATTTTTAATTAACAAATATAGCTCGCCTTGAAAAGGATCACGTCCTAGTGAGGACTGATAACGAGTTGTGTCGAGCTGAGTCTGAGCTCAGGGTGGTTGAGCTCGACTCCTTTTTAAACATTTACGAGTCCTACTTAAGTCTTAACGAGCCAAAATTTTAGATAATTTTATTAAAATTCTTATTTTCAAGTTTTAACGAGGCGAGGCGAAACTGACTCGTTAATTAAATGAGCTTTCAACGTGCTCGAGCTCGACTCATTTATCAAACAATTGAGTCGAGTCAACCTCATAAGCGACCCATTTCGATTAAAGCTCTAATCCGACTCGTCGATTCAGACTAGTTGTGTGGCTTGTGGTCTTAGAAGTGAAATTAATTAAGCCGCCAAAAAGTGAATCTGCCCGGGAATAAAAATACGCCTGTGAGATAATGAAATAACAATCATTAATCCATTAATTCATTGCCATCGTCATATCTGATTTTTGTGGCGTATACGGGGACCAGGCCAGCAGCCATGGCCGCCGCCGCAGCCGCCGTCTCCGATGCCGAAGTTCCTCTCCTGAACGACGCCGTCGAGGGATCCGTTGACTTCAGAGGCGCTCCCGTCCGCAGATCCAAATCCGGCTGCTGGAGATCCGCAGCTTTCATCATAGGTAAAATCAGAAAGCCTAACTATCCAACCTCTTCGTTTGTTCTCTCTCTCTCTCACTGTACGATTTTTGTGATTTGACAATCAGGCGTTGAAGTGGCGGAGAGGTTCGCTTACTACGGCATAAGCTCGAATCTGATAAGCTACTTGACGGGACCTCTGGGGCAGTCCACCGCTGCGGCGGCAGCGAACGTGAACGCGTGGTCTGGAACGGCGTCCCTTTTGCCGCTGCTTGGTGCGTTTGTGGCGGACTCGTTTTTGGGCCGGTACCGGATGATTATTGTAGCTTCTGTTCTGTATATATTGGTCAGTCATTGATTCTCTTGGATAAAATTTTTGGTGTGTTGTGTAGATGTACTTTGTATTCATGTGGCTTGTCACTTACTTTATATGCATTAATTGAGTGGCTGCCTAGATGGGTAGTACATGGTTTAGCTGAAATCCCATTTAGCACTACCCACTTTAGGTGGAATGTTTGAACTAAGACTCCATTAGAAGACGAAAGCCAATAGTGAATGGTTCAATTTTGGATATTTCTGAAAACAAATTGACCTCAGTATATAGGGAGCTTTTGCAAACACACATAAAAGAAAAACTGGCTCCCAGCTTTTATTGATTCCCCTAGTGGTTTGAACTATTTCCTGAGATTGGAATAGAAAAAGAGTGATCTCTTTTGACTTGATTATCTTGCTTCACGAGTAAGCTCATTGTTAGTATGAGGAAGAAACAAATGCCATGTTTTTTTCTTTTCCTTTTTGAATAATTCATTATTGGTTACTATAGGGACTTGCATGCTTGTCTTTGTTGGCTGCTGTCTATTCATCCGTCTCACCTGACTGCCAAAATACGACAAATACCTCTTGTTCCCCACCGCCACTTCAGATCACTCTCTTTTTCTTCTCCTTGTACACAGTTGCCTTAGCCCAAGGAGGGCACAAACCCTGTGTCCAAGCTTTTGGAGCTGACCAATTTGACGAGCAGGACCCGAAAGAGCGTAAAGCCAAGAGCTCGTTCTTCAATTGGTGGTACTTTTGCTTTTGCGGAGGTGTATTAGTAGCCCTGCTTGTTTTGAACTACATCCAGGACAATTTGAGCTGGGGGCTTGGCTTTGGAATCCCTTGTGCCGTTATGTGTCTTGCTTTAGTTGTGTTTTTGCTCGGGACTTTTACTTACAGGTTTCGAGTGCAGAGTGATGATAGGAACGCGTTTGTCCGAATTGGCAGTGTGTTTATCCGGGCAGCTAGGAATTGGCGGATTAAGTCGTCAGCTATATCCATGGAGTCTGAAGCTCAGGGGATTTTGCCTTACGAAGGTTTTCGACAATATCAGTAAGTCAAATATGGTGGTTTTATGTGAAGATATAATAGGATTGATTAATGCATGTGAATTGTAATCTCCTTTGCCTCAGAGGAGGTTTTGAGAATCTATGTCGACTATGATCCAGTGCGCGCAAGTATTCATGCATTTAACAGAATTGATGTTGTAATTTGGAACTTTTTGTGGACTCATATTACCTGCTAATGAAAAAACTTCACCGTGTAAAACTGTAAAGTAGTAGTTATGAAAATTATTCTTGAGGTTCAGTGTAATTATTTAAAGGATCCAGTTATAAAGTTTTCAAGAACCCTTCATCTTGTTTCTATGTCATGTACTGTACCCTCAACAGAGCCAAAGGGTATTGAAATGTTTGAGCAAATAGAGAACAGAAGTCGCAATGGGTTATTCGTGACTCATCGAGGGGATAATTCTTTGAAATTCGAAAAAAAATATTTGGACCATTTTTGCTACTAGCGTAAACCTAACTAGTAGTTTTTTTTTTTTTTTACACTCGTGTAGTAAAGTGATTGTTCCATTACTGCAAATTCGGTGTTTTTTCAACTTTGAATGCATTTGCTTGGTTTAATAATAGGTTCCTCAACAAAGCTTTGCGTGGGCCCCACGACACGACGATTTGTACCATCAACGAGGTCGAGGAAGCAAAATCGGTCCTCCGGCTCATCCCAATATGGGTCACTTGCCTGGCCTACGCGATCGTCTTCTCCCAGTCCTCGACCCTATTCACCAAACAGGGCGCCACCATGGACCGCCACATCACCACAAATTTCGAAATACCGCCCGCGTCCCTCCAGTCACTCATCAGCTTCTCCATAGTCGTCTTCATCCTCGTTTACGACCGTATATTGGTTCCTTTCGCAAGATCCGTGTCCAATAATCCTTCCGGAATCTCCATGCTCCAAAGGATCGGCACCGGAATATTCCTATCTCTAATCTCGATGACTAGCGCAGCAATTGTCGAGCAAAAGCGTTTGAAAACTGCGTTTGACCACGGGCTGGTTGATTTTCCGGAGGCCACGGTGCCCATGAGCGTGTGGTGGCTGGCGCCTCAGTACTCTCTGTTTGGAATCTCGGAGGCTTTCACGATGGTCGGGCTTCAGGAATTCTTCTACGATCAGGTCCCGAGTGATTTGAGAAGTGTCGGGCTTGCTCTTTACCTAAGTATATTCGGGATAGGAAGCTTTATAAGCAGTTTTCTCATCTCGATTATTGAGAAGGCCACGGGTGGGCCGGGCCGCGACGGTTGGTTCTCGAACAATTTGAACCGGGCCCACCTCGATTATTTCTATTGGCTGCTGGCGGGGCTGAGCGCAGCAGCTTTTGCCGCGTACCTTTATTTCGCAAAGTCGTATATTTATAACAGGAAAAAGGTAAGAGTTTGATACTTTTTTTTTTTTTTCCCCGAGAACTACTGCTTGTTATATGTTTGTATGTGTTATTTTGTGTTCCATTCATTGGAAATGGTATTCGTTTCGTCGTGTTCGTAACGAACGCGGGCATTCAAGAGGGTGCGTAATATATTGGTGTGGGTTTTGCTCAAGAATACGTGCGTGAGCTCGATATTTCTGTATTGAGGAATGTTTAAAGAGCCAAAAGGGGCAAAACGACATATGAAGAGATTTTTGCTAAGCACTTTGTTCACATGGAGGTGAAGAGAAGAGTGGGAAATCCTTTGAGTCTTTTCTGTTGATATTATGTGCAAGAAATTAATGATACCCTTCAATGGCTTCAAGTAGTCATGTGGCTAACCAAATACGCAAATTCTCTTGGGGTCGTTTTGTGGAGATGTCAAGTGAAGTATAGATGCTTTCTTGGACAATCATTTTTGCTTGTCTTTTTATTGTGTTGTAACATTCACATTTTAGAATTGTGTATCAATTAGGCAGCATCGAAACATCATTCGTAATATTTCAAGATGTTCTTGTTTTTGGAGCTCAATTACTCCATGTCTTTCAATGCTATAGTAAGTTGTAGTAAGTTGACCCGTATTTTTTCAACAGATATGCATACTTTTAAATTAAATTTTAATGCCATATTTTAAAAAAACAACGTCAATAGAAGTATTATATTTCACAACACAATGTAAATATGAATTTTTGTTAACAAACAAATTGGCTCTCCTAACAGTTAAGTTTCAAAAAAGAATTTATATCAGTACTATCATATATTCATATCTCACTCCTTGGTACTAACTTGATAAACTTATTACTAACTCAAATTAGGATTAGGACTAACTCAGAAGATTAAGATAGATGGACATATATTTTTTTTTTTTTTTCCAAAAAGTAAATATAACGTAAATATGAATTTTTGTTAACAAACAGGTCGATCCGCCCAACAATTAAGTTGTCTTACACAAGAATTTGTATAAGTACTATCATATCTCACTCCTTGGTACTAACTTGATAAACTTATTACTATCTCAATTAGGACTAACCCAGAAGATTAAGATAGACGGGCATATCTTTTTTGTTTTTCCCAAAAAGTAACTACAAGTGTCAAGTAGCATTTTGAAGGGGAAAATGTATAATCAACAAGTTTCCTCCTTGAATATTGATATCTACCCAAAATTTCATCTGGAATATAATTTTTCCTGATCTCACCTCCAAAACCTTTTTCCACCTCTTTTATAAATAATCAGAACTCTTTACATAGAAAAATACCACTTTGAGCTTACAACACAACCTCTAATAACTTCCTAACTTCCACCGTTCAAAATAAATAAATAAATAAATAAAAGAGATATAGATGGTTCTCGTAAGTCTTTTCTTTTTATATTATAACTAGCACAACACCCGTGTATTACACGGGTGCTTGTTAGCAAATTTATTTTTAAATTTTTAAAATTAATGAGAAAAATGTTTTTAAATTTAATTACTTTTTTACAAAAAAAAATTGTATTATTATATATTTTAGAATGACATTTGTTATTTGTGCGCTTACATATGTTATATTATACTAATTTTCTAACTTATATCATATGACTACTTGAAACATAAATATATTAATTGATAAAATTTTATTTTTTTAATTAATATTAAAAGTAATTTTATTATTGTTTTAAAGATTAATATAATTTATTTATTTTATACATACAATATGGATGTTAAATCAAAACTCATCAAAAGATGATTAATTTTATATATTATATATGTAAAAGTGGTAAAAAAAAAGTGCAAAAAACTTTTACAATACATTTACAATTCAATGATTATAATAAGAAATGATATTACAATGCAATTAATATATGTAACATGACTATAAATAATCAACATATTTATGAATAATCCGAATCTAATTATATTTGAATTGGAAGTAAATTAAAATCTATCCAAGCCAAGCATATAATTTTGCCACAGAAGATCTCGAAGCATGCTAGTCTAATGAGTGTTCAACACGTTTTATATTAAATATTAATATATAAGGGGATTTGAGGGAGGAATAAGCATACAGTGTATTTTCAACGAGTATTGATTGGTAATTTATAATGCGTAGGAAAAACTTATGCCGTTACAAAATACATCACCAACAAAAGAAAAAGAAAAAAAAAATTACAAATAATCAAAGTGATACGATCTTCCATTCCACAAATGTTAAACAAGAGAACAAAATCAACAAACATGGAAATAAATATGAAAAATGCCATCACTCAACAATCCACCAGTCTGCAATACTGGGGATTGCACATTCCTATCTCAAATAATCACAGATTGGCCACAATATCCAAATTTTATTTCTCATAAAAAATGATAAAAACTTAACAAAGTTCAACAGCAATTACGAAATAAACACACGACCTCTTCTGCAAACAATAAGACCACAAACTCTTAAGCAGACGATACATAGTAGCCATTCTCCTTTTCATTCGTAAGATGGGGCAAGACACTCATCAACCATATTGAGCAGGTTCGGATTTTCTAAAGCTGCAGCCACCCGTTCCTTATCATTCAGCTGCTTATTTACTGAAAATACGTAAAATGGTCTTCAGAATCATATACATGAATAAAAAGGAGAGAGAGAGAGAGAGAACCTGCAGCTTCGGTGGCATGAGTACCTGGTGCAACTCTAATATCCACCTGAGAACAAAAATCAAAGTAACGTCATTTGGGTTACACAAAGGAAAAAAAATCATTCATGAACACACTATCAGAAGCCGAAAAATCAAGAAAGTCACTAAAGTACGTATCTTTGTCACCCCACAGTCGGTATTTATTCCACTTTTTCAGACAGACCAATACAAAAAATTACGAGCCATAGTTGGACAAATAATTGCATCAACTTGATACCAGTAACCAATCGAGAGTACAAGACCCGTTTCCACAATTGATTTTCAAGAAGCAATACCTTGTACCGAGGTGGCAACGAGCGCATGAGTTTGACCTGCAAGCACAAGCCAATCACAGTTGCCATGCTGCAATGCTCTACAGTTGGAGTGAATGTGACCCTAAAGCAAATCAACTAACTTCCAGTGAGATTTGGATTTAAAGTAAGCATACACACGTAAATGAAGGCAAATACATATGGAAATATAGATTTCTACCTTAAGTGACTCTTCTCATCATCAACCTCGATGGCATCTTCTGATACGACCTTGAGCTGCTCCAAGGAGTAAGGGTGTTCTGGATCTTTTATGTCTCTAATATGTTGTTTGAAATTTAAGGAGTACAATATGTTTTGAAGCATGAGATTCTCCACAATCTCATTGTTACCTCTATGGGTTAAACTAAAAGTTTTGCAGCCAAAACTTAACCATGGAACTGTATATAATGATTTATAAAATGTCCAAGGAGCAAATGATCAGTGCAAAAATGTAATATATATACATTAGTAATAGAGATACTTGCCAAGAAGTTCACAGGGAATGAAGGTAAAATAAACATATCAAAGGATATCGAAAATTTCTAATCGATCAATCTGCTCGACAGCATATTCATCCACATCGGCTGGTGAATTGCGCGCTCGACGCTCCTTTTTCTCGTACACAATTGGGTTAGCATTTATGAGATTTACTACCATGATGAAAGCTTAACCTAATTCCAAAATCAAGATTAGCTAATATAATATTTTTCACAAAAATCATTACGTTGGGGCAAAAAACATGCTAAGAACGAGAAGGAAAAAAAATCCCAATTTTTACATGCTTTATCTAAATGGATGAATCAATGGCCAAATTAATGTCCGCACAGGTGCATATATATGCAATTAATTAAACAGGAATCATATCAACCACCGTGTAAAACTACAGATGAATAATATTTTTCCTCTTTCAGCTTTAAGAACGAGAGTATATACAGAATACTAACAGGAAAAGTGGACAATGGACAGAGCTCCGGCGGCGGTGGAGGATTTTTCGGATGTTCGCGCTTCTTCTTCCTTCCCCTTTCTGTAGTCGATTTGGCACGATAAGATGATAACATGTATTAAGCCCTTGTTTGGCAATTTGACTAACAAATTATATTATCGGATAAATATATTTGGTAAATCAGAATAAGGGCATGAATATATGTTATTATTTTTTATATAACATCTGTGCGGACATTCGAATTAAACAACGGATACAAGTTGTAAGCAGATATAATACACGAATAATGGTTTCATATAAAGTTTTGGCCACCTAAGGAGTACTGCCCCTAAGGTGCATCTAAAATCATTTCTTTTCTGTTCTGATCTTATAACGGCAAATAACGGCAAACAAAAATACCACAGAATGATGTACTAGATAGACTTTCCCACCTCGATACTTTGGCTCTGCTACTGAGATGAATCGTCACTTATGTGGAAACTCGAGGGCTCGACTCCTCGGAATCTACATAAATTAAGCGATACTCGGATAAGTCTCTAATTCTATCTCGGTAAATTTAATTTACCAACTGAAGGATTTCTAACTTAAGGTTCATGACTTAAAAATTCTGCTCTTTCTTAGATGTTGAAACTCTTGACTCGGACTCTTTAAAAATTCTCGAAATTAACTCTTTTAAAATCTAATATTAGCCTCGACTCGAAAAATCATTTTAAGACTCGGGATGTTTTATAAAAATGCTAAAAATAGCACGGGATACTCAGAACAGCTCAAAATAATATAAAAAATGTGTTCGGGCTTGACACGGGCTCGGTTCTGGCTCGGTCGGTGCAGTCCGGTAGCTGGCCAGTGGCTCAGGTCAGTCCGCGGGTAGCACCAGAACCGCGGCCTCTGCGACCTGGTGCGGCGGCTGGCCTCGGCCCTGCACTCGGTTTGGCTGCGCGCCTGCGAGCTCGCGGCAGCAGTCTTGGCAGCACCCGGCCATTGTGGCCCGGCGCTGAACTTCGGCTTTTCCTGACAACTATCTCAACCTTTACGACACCTTTTACGACCAATACAAAATATATTTTTAGGAGTTCAAATATCCGGTTTTAAACATGAAATAAACGGCTCGTTTGATAAACAATAAAAATCCCATTTTAAACAAATATTTCTAAGGCAATTGAACTCCATTTTTAATAACTACTTAAGAGATTTAAACCTCATAAAAAACGCAGCAAATCATTAATTTTTTCGAAACCCAACAAGGCTCCGAACATAGCAATTAATATCCCGATTTTAACAACAACTTAAAACCAATTATCCCGACCCTTATTTTCTTTAAAAATAATAGGCTAATATACGTCCTAAGTCGAGAATTCAACATCAACTCAGTAACTCGGAATTTAAAGTCTCGTATCACATGCATTAAACAAAATAATGCGTCTCATCGCCATGAACCTCAAGACTTACATTAATCCTTCAAAATACTCATTAACAAGGAAGAGGATGTTCAGCCATCTACCTTGTTCGGGAATTAAACGAGGGTTTTCACCGAGTGTACTCGATTTCGGATGCACCCGCCTAGATCGAAGGCCAATAGAGTCTCCCACGGATATATGAGCGGCGAAGCAATAGATCTACCGCTGGAGAATCGCAGGTTAAATTGAGACTCTTGTTCATTTTGTAGAGAATTTTTTTTTTATTATTTTTATTTCTTCAGTAACAAATTAGTAAATTGTGCGTTGTAATATGAAAATAAAAAAAAAGGTGTTAGAAGTATTCATGTAATCATGTGTGTTCACAAAATCTGTATGTAATTTGGTGTATTGGGACTTTTAAAACATTTGTGATTGGTTTCATAATTATCTTCATTTTTTTATCTCAAACTTGGAAAGTTGTTTTCATGTCGTTTGATATATATATATATATATATATATATATATATATATATATATNTTCGTAACATGTTTTTTGTTTTTTATAAACTACTTTATTAATTTTTTTTAATTACAATAACAATTTTTTTTATGTTGTTTTTTCTAATTCATGTTTCAAAAAGAAGAAGAACAAGAGGAATTGAAGAAGGAAGAAGAAGAATTGAAGAAGAAATAAAGATTGAGGAAACGTTGAAAAGAAAAGAAAAGAGAGAAGAAAAGGAGATAAAGAAAAAGAGAGAAGGAAAATAAGATATTAGTTTTTAAAATTAAAATCAGTTTCTATTTAATTGTGTGGTTTTATATGCTTGTTGGAATAGAAAAAGATATTGTTGGAATTCAATGTAATGTGTTTTTTTTTAATAGAATTGTTTTTTATGAGTTGGTTAGTTATGTACTTTCCCTTGTATTGGGACGATGGTGATCTGCTCGATTTAGGGTGGGGGAGATCTGATAGAAGAAGAAAAAGGGCTCTGTTTAGTCGGCTGAGAAATAACAATATTGGGCCGAGATTTGACAAACTGGGCCGAAAAGCACAAGAGATTAAAGGGCCGAAAATAAATAAAAGGGCCGGTAATATTCGATCAAAGGGCCGAAAATACGCTTATAAAGGCTGGAAAACATCGCTAATAATAGGTCTCGAGCTATGCTTATAAAGGCTGCAAAATCTATATATATATATAATTGTTAGCTAACCTCATTTAATAAAACATTTAATAAAAACATTTTCATTTTCCCTCCAAAAGAAGTTACATTTTTTTAATTAATTACTCATTAATCTCACATTTAAGAAGGTTTCTTTTAATTAAACTTAATTAATTAATGACTAAATTAAAAATTATTTCTTTTAGTTAATCCCACAATATAAGAAATGAAATTATTTTTTTTGTAATTTAATTTCCAGCCATACTCAATCAAATATATAACTACAAAATGATAAGAATGATTAGTTTCATAATTAAAATTAAAAATTTAGCTCCCCAAATGGTAAAACCTTATAAATTAGTAGTATAGATACATTTAAATGACATATAATTTATAAACTTAGACTATACGCATAATAAGATGAATTATGAATTAAATAAAAAAATTATTATTATAACACAGTCTATATAATTATTATAGCAAAGTCTATATTGTCAATATTATCATTTAAAAAGTTCATTGAAAAAACATATGTATAAAAAAAATCCATATGATCATAATTAATAGTGCAAAATTAACATTCTTTGACTTTCTATTTGGTAGTAATAATAAAATATTTTATATTACTACTATTCAATAAAATGCATGATTTCTGCATATTTGATTATCGCAATCAACATTCTTTTTTTATAAATTAAAAAGTGTCTTGAATCAATTGTCTCATATTTTTCATTAAAACAAAATAACTGTTGGCCGTGAAAAAAAACATTATTTCACAATTATAAATATAAAAATGATTAATTTTCATTAAACAATTCCTCTTTAAGAAAAAAGTGGCGGGACAAATTTCTGCATGATTATAGCATCAAAACATATCTAAAACATCAATATTTTAATGCATTAAAAACATACTTTCAGCAACAGAAAAGTCATATTAAACGGAAATTGGCAAAGTCAAAGAATGAGAATTGACAAGGCATTGTATGTAATGGCAGATTGTTGCATAATATAGAAATATCAACCATAATTAATAATCAACAAAAAAAAGTCAAATCTATATGAAAAAATCAAAATTAAAAACACAGCAAATTATGTGGAACATTATTGAACACTATACAATATAGAAAGAAAAATAATTTGATTTCTCTATCATTATCAACATATTCAACTTTTACCAAGACATCTGCCTTTATATTAAAATCGATTTTTTTGCGTAAAAGTTTTAAAAATAAAAATTCCTACAGATTCTTTTAAACATTAAACAAGAAATTCCTAATATGCGATAAATATATCTAAACAGATTTGTTATAAACTTACCTAATATTTCCAAATTTTGAACAAAATACTAAAAAATTTGAAAAACTTCGGCAAAAGACTTTGAATAACTTCGAAAAGCGATTTTGAACAAGTGTTAGCAAAGCTTCACTTACTGATATGATGAGAAAGACGACAAAGAATTGAACTATTTAGTTTTCAAAATCTGAACAAAATACATAAAAGTTACATATGTATGTTATAAAAAGATATGAACAGATATGTTATAAACTTACATATATATTTGTTAGTAGAGCTGAACATATCTGTTAGAAACTTACATATTTTTTCAAACCCTGAACAAAATACATAAAAGTTTGAAAAAGTTCGACCAATGTCATGTTCTCTTCGAAAAACGATTTTGAAAAACATCTAAATAATTTCGAATTATGTATAAAATATAATATATCTTGAAGCTTATTCACAAAGAATTTCGGAAAACGACACAGATCATTGAAAATAATAAAAAATAAAAACTACGTTTAACAAAAAATATTTCAGCTCATCATAGATTTGTAATATTATCGCCCGATTTTGACCGACCTGTTAAGATTTAGCAACACAGATTAAGAAATCGGGACGAATATTTTATTTTTCGATCACTACTGTTGGTCACAAAAACAACATTTCTCGGATGTCTTTTTTTTTTTAATTTTTTAAGCCTTTACCGGGAGAAAATCTCCGGTAAAACAGTTGTTTTGTATTGAATCTCGCCGAGTTTGTCGTAATATCGGGTTAAGGATTAGGGTTTCAGACAGAGTGAATAACGAGAGAAGCGCCGACATCAAAAAAAAAAAAACGGCTTACATCACTCTCAAGGAGTTTATCTCTATTTATAGTCATGTTATCACTGACCTGTTTTATATTTGATTTTGGCTACCCTAAAAAATTAAGTGGACTTCTAATTTGGGCTTTTTTTATCATTCAATCAATATATTTCTTTATGGCCCAAAAATTGTCATTTTGTTCAAATGTCTTAAATATTTGGCACATATCATTATTTATCAACCAAATACAATTATTTATTTTGTAATATTTTGCTGGTATTTTTTTAGTATTTTTTTTTTAAATTTTCTATATGATCTATAGTACAAAATACAATAATTATTTAAACAATTAAAACCATTATATGTCTTAATTTGAAGATATGATTTGTAGTGATGAAAATTCTGTTGATAGAAAAACCACAAACGTTGTATATAAAAAATTGTTTAACAGTATTTAGTTATTATTTCTTATAACA